CCCTGAGTCCTCCGAGCAGATCGACGCCGAGAAGAAGGATGCCGCCAAGGAGGAGGAGCTCGAGCATCCCTCCTTTGCCGCCGGGTTGATAGGTGTGTTTAAAAAAAAATTCTAATTTTTGAGTTAAAAATTTGGATTATTGGATTTTTTTTGCAATATTATTCATTTTTTATTTTTTAGAGCGGTCTGAATGGAAATATATCTACATTTAATGCTAAGAAAATTTTACGGTTTTTGTAAAAAAATGTTTGGCGATTTTTGATGGTTTTTTTACCTATTACTCGCCTTTCTGGCCCTCATTTGAATATCTAATGGCCTGTCGACCGGGAGGTCAGAAGTGCCCATTTCCTGCTCTTTATCTCTCTCTCTCTTTCTCTCTCTCTCTCTCTCTCTCTCTCTCTCTCTCTCCTCTTCCAATATCAAAGAATACAATACCCCTTTTTGGCCGTTGCGTAATTTGGACCTGAAGGGAAGTCAAGGGACGGGATGGTCCTTAGGACAGGTCAAATAGGGGTTTTGAGGTGGGTAGGCTAGCACGGGTACCTTGGGGAATTATTTTTCTATACCTTTAAAGGGACGTACAAGGCAATATTATGAATTCCGCCAAATTACGCAACGCAGCCGCTTGGCGACGTTGAACGTAGCATAATCAACTAGGCAATGAAAACGCGTGCGGGCGCGTCGCGTCTCGCGGGACTTGTCGAAAAATCCATAAGGAAACCATAAAAACCTTTTATTTTTTATCTTTTTCTAATTGGCGTCATCCCTTTAAAATGTAAAATGTAAACTAAATGGGCTATAAAATTGCATAATATAACTAACCATTTTTAAGTTTTAATTTACTTTATTTTATCAAACTTTTATGTGGTTAAAATAATCGCGTTTTTAAATATAGTTTTTAACTCAACGCCATTTTCCTTCTAATCAGATTGATAAGGGCTGATATGTGCATAGGTTAGATGGAGGGATTGTGCTAATCCGGCCCTTCCAGCCCCTCTCTTGCTCATTTCGGGCTGATACAGGGGGTGTCATTTGTTGCGCAACGTAGCCCCCTTCCTCTACTATCGGCTGTCCCACACCCAAGCCCTACTGTCGCGTTGCGCAATTTACGCCTCACACCTATAGCCACCGAACATATTGGAGGAGCAGGGGAAGAAAGGGATTAAAAAATGGGTTTAAAGGGACTAGGAAGACAAAAAAGATTTCTCTCGTATCTCACTCTATCTCTCGCTCTTTCTCTCGCGCTCTTTCGCTCGCTGCCTCTCTCGCTCTCCCTCTTTCTCGTTTTATTTTTTTAAGGTGACTAGGAAGCCAAAAATATACGTAAATTTTTCGAAAATGAAGAAGCCTTGGAGAATCGCCAGAATTCAAATTTTTCGATGTTACTAATGCCTTTTTTGCTTTCATCACGCTCTTAAACGCTTCTTAAAGGGACCGGGAAGCGAAAAATCCATATGAATTTTTGAAAAATGTCTCGAAAGTCCAAAAAAACTGCAAGTTCTGGAGAAACTTCTCGATTCTCTAGTTTCCATTACATTCTCACGGTCAACCCATATCTCTCTCGCTCTCTCTCGCCCTCTTTCGCTCTCTCTCTCTGACTATCTCGCTCTCTCTGCCACTCTCTCTCCCGCCCTATTCGGCTATTCATGGAGCATCTCGGCACATAAAAATCGCCCATAATTTGTAGGGGGAGGAGGGCCTCCCTATCGGTCCATTGATTCCCGGGGCTTTCCGTTTATTAGCTGCCCGCCGGATGGGGAATAATCGAAACACCGGAACTGGGGGTAACGAAAAGGAATATTACAAATTCCTGCGAAAAATGGGAAGAAAAATACTTAAGACGGATATAGCTCGTTTTTTAAAGGGTTTAGAAGACTAAAAAGCTCTTTATCTAAGTCGACAAGCAAAAAGCAAGAGTTTCCAAAAGTTTTTGAGCAAAAGGCAAAAAGTTCGACACGCCCGGGAATCGAACTCGGACCCTCAGATTGACACTCATAAGCGTTAACCACTAGGCCATCCCGATAATACCGACAATTGTGTGAACGCGCACCAACAGGACCCCAATTTTTTGCCCCATTTTCCCGGGCCCTCCTTCTTGCGTATGTTTGCGTAGCCATGCAATGGGCCACCTAGGCAAACCCCCGGGGCAAGATGGCAAATATCCTTTGGGAAGGGAGGCCCTAGGGGGGTCAATGGACTCGGATTAAAGGGACGGGGTCACCTGGGTAAATGGTAAAAAAACGGCGCGTTCGAAAGATTCGAACTAGGGTGGTTATTGTGGAAAAAGGGGAGCAAAAGCCCAGCAAAGTAATCTAAGCCTAAACAAAGTCTAAGCCTAAAGCCTAAGCGTAAGCTAAACACAAGCTAAGCCTAAACTAAGCCTAAGCAAAGCCGAAGCCTAAGCCGAAGCCTACGCCTAAGCCCAAGCCAGTAAGCCTACGCATAAGCTAAGCCTATGCCTAGGCTAAGCCTAAGCTTATGCCTAAGCTAAGCCTAAGCCTAAGCTAAGCCTTAGCTTAGTCCAAGCCGAAGCCTAAGCCACGTCTAAGCCTGAGCCTAAGCTTAAGCATAAGCGAAGTATAAGCCTAAGCCTAAGCCACAGACTAAGTGAAGTCAAAGCCTAAGCCTAAGCTAAATAAAAAAATGATTTATAGCCAATCTATAAATGAATTTCAGGAAAAGCCGGAGCTTTCCAGCCAGCCCTTCCCTCGCCGAGTTTCGTCCCCGCCGGTCTCGGTTTCCCCATGCTGCAGTCATTTCAAAGTCCTCTGTCACCGGCATATCCCAACATCTTCAACATGATGATGCCACAAATGGTCAGTTTTTTTGGGTCTTTAGCGATTACGATTCCCCAATAATCTCTGCTAGCCTGCCAAACCTGTTGAGTTAAACATTTAAGCGTTTTTTCGCATTGGCGGGAGACCTATTTTTGAAAAAACTTTGTAAATTTTAAAAGTTCGAAATTTTGAGCGAAAATTGGCACTTCTCGTCGAAAAATCTAGCTTTTTATTTTGTCGAAAATTTTTGAAAAATTGTACCCTAAATAAAACAGTTCGTTGCCATCTAATCAACCTCCCCCGATAATGCAAAAGAGCCAATTTTCGTTTCCGCTAACTTCCTAGGGTTTTCCTCAAGAATCTCTGCTAGCCTTCCCTCGGTTTGTTGGTTCTCCAAGGATCTCTGTTAGCTTGCCGTACGGTAGGCTTTACTTAAAGAATCTCTGCTAGTCTGCCATATAGGATCGCTGCTAGCTTGCCTATCTCGTCAACCAGACAAATCCGGCTAGCCAGCAAATATAATTGGGGAATTTTGTCTCAGGGCAGGCTAGCAGAGACCATTGCGAAATTCCCCTTACAAAGCCAACTAGCAGAGACCATCTAGGAACCCCTATTCCATCCATTTTAAGCTTGAAAGTGACTCTGAAGCTTTTTCCAGCCATTTTCCAGCTTTTTCGGAAGTCCATTGTGCCCTACGGGTTGTTTACCCCTCTAAAATTGGTTGTTTTCCGGGGCAATACACCCTCCAGGGATACGGTAGTATTGTCGAGGTTCTAACCTAGACAGCGGAGGATAATTGTGGCTAGGATATTCCCCCCATTCCGATTTGTCCCTTTCCACCCGGGACCCCTTGACTCCCTTTCTCGACCCTTTTATTCCCGTTCCAATCCACACCTCCACTTCCTGTCTACACCTCTTTACACCACCTAAGGAAAGAATTCCGCTATTGTCCTCTAGACGGCCGAAAGGCTGGGGTAATTTTCGTGGCTACGCGACGATACGGCTGTGAACGCCTTGAAATTGGGGAGAGGGAAACTAGCAGAAAAAGAAAATTTCTGCGATTTTTTTTGCGGCAATAGCGAGCCGGCTAGTAGAGATTATTTGAAAACGCTAAATAATAATTCTGCTATTGTCATGTGGACGGCCGAAGGTACGAAAGGCTACGCGACGATACGGCTATGAACGCCTTGAAATCGCCAAACCTGAGTTTTGAGGCTGGGGCAAGCTAGCAGAGTATTTTTGGGAGTGCTGACAGGCTAGCAGAGATGATTTGAGAACGTCAAGCAAAAATTACGCTTTTGTTTTATAGACGGCAAAAAGGTGGGGATAATTTTCGTGGCAGGCTACGCGACAAAACGCCTACGAACGGCTGTGAAATTACAAATTTGGATCTTGAAGGGATCGGGCAATCGAGCAGAGATTATTTAGGAAAATCAGTGATAATTGCTCAAAATTTGGAGGCAATCTAGCAGAAACCTTCGCGGAAATCTCGTCGATCCAAGACAAAGGAGGGCCAGGGGTGTCACCTAATTAAGTATTCCGCTAGTTTCCTATCCACAATGCAAATAATTGTCTTTGTCTATGTTCGGGTGATTAGGTGTGAAATTTCAGGCAAAACCAGGCAAAATAAGCAGGAGCTTTGGCATTTTCGGTGGGGGACGAGTTTTGTAAAGGTCCAGAAAAACCTAGTAGTGTATTAATAATTTTTAATAATGTTTTTAGTAAAATTTAGCTAAATTTGGAGTCAAAAACTATCTAAAAAAAACTTTTAAAAGTATTAGAAATTCTAAATTAATTTTTGACGGAAAAAAATTGTTATTTTTGTATTGTTAGATAAAAAGCAGGGGTTTTTGCAAGGTTTTTGCGTTCAGCCTCATAAAACAGTTCCGCAATTTATATTAGGGTGATTGGGCACCAAGGAAAAATCGTTTTATTCCTGATCCCCCCGATAATGCAAAAGTACCGAAATTGGGCAGAAAAGGTCTAAGAAAAATAAAAATTAATAAAATAAAATTTAATGAAATAAAATGAATTTAATAAAATTAAATAATGCAAATTTTGCAGATGCCGGGCTTCCTCCAGCAACAAGCCGCCCTCTCGCCCTCCTTTTTCATGGCAGCAGCCCTTTCTCCACACTATGCACAAATGCTAGCAACACAGCGGATACAACACATGATGAATAGTTCACCCGGATCAGCACTCGCCAATGGCTTCAATCAGAAGATGAATGTCGGCCCCGTGCCCCTGGCCCCGAATATGAGGTATGCCGGCTAGCAGGGCTCTTTTAGGAGAATTTGGAACAAAATTTGACTTTTTAGCTATGAAGATCCTACTATATATAAAAAAGTAGTGTATGTGTGTCTGTGCCACTTTGCATCCACTTCCGTATCGTTGTTCCAGTAGTATCTCCATAGGGGAAGGAGTTAGGGGTGTTTACGATATGTCATTAGGTGCGTAATCGTCTAGGGATGATTGCCCACCTATCAGATTTATAAAAATCAGCCATTTTCGGTATTAAATTTAAGTTTTTGTAAAACCCTCTTCGCTAGGAAAAATTAGCATTGACCGGAAGTGGGGATTCGACTATATAAAGGGTCACAAGCGAACCTTTTCATTTTTTTGCCATCTGAATTCAGCGCAATTATGCAAAGCGTAGAACTGCATACGGTTCAAGACAGGGCCAGGGTTGAAAAGTCGCGAAGCGGCTTTTCAACCCTGGTGAAGATTTAATTTCCAAGCTAACATTGAAAAAAAATTGGATTTTGGGCGTGGCCTAATGGTTAGTGGAATTGCCTCTCAATCTAGGGATCCGGGTTCGAACCCCCGCCGCGGCAACAGTTTTGCTTTTTGCTCAAGATATCAAAATTTGATGGCGGAGCCGTCAGTGAGGTTTTTCTGAGGCTAGGAGCCTGGGTTCGACCCCAATCTCGGCGAAAATTTTTGCTTCTTTGCTTTTTGCCCAACGAATATTTCTATAGCTAAGTGGTTAGGGGCTTGGACTATCAAGCTAGAGGTCCGGGTTCAATCCCCGGCCGCAGAAAATTTTTTTGATTTTTGATTTTTTGCTGAAAAATCGGTCAAAACAGTGTGGCTGAGTGTCTAGCGTTCGAGCCTCTCAATCTATAGGCCCCGGTTCGAACCCCGCCGGAGCCAAATTTTTGCTTTTGCGAAATTTTTAGGCATCAATTTTAATGTTTATTGCTACAGAAATATGAACATGCAAAACCTGCGACAACCCTTCGCCAACCCCGGCCACAGCCAGCAGACGGCAGCACAGAAAAAAGCCAGAGGTAAGTCCAGTTGTTTTGTGATTATTTGAGTACGGTATGCTACGGTAGCATACGGCATACGGTATCTAAGCCACAAAATAATTTTGTATTTTTTTTCAGAAGACCGCAAGCGCTCACACATCAAGAAGCCGCTGAACGCCTTTATGTGGTATATGAAGGAAAATCGGTGGGTTACGGTAGATTTACGGGTTACTGTAGTTTTTTTTAACGTTTTTAAAAATAATTAGAAAATTAAAATATATAATTTTTTTCATGTGTCGAAAAATGACTTTTTAGTCGTTTTTCTACCGTAGTATTATTTATTTAAAAAAATTTTTAATTGGCGTGAAAAATTTATAAATTGAAACAATTATGTTTTTTTTGGTTTTTAGTCCCAATTTCTATATTTTTATTAAATTTTTGTAAAATCCTATGGATTCAAATTATGTAAATTATGTTAATTTCCAGACGAAAATCGGTGGAATTTTTGAAACATTGAAAATTACAATTTTTACATTTTTATGTATTTTCATTAATTTAGCTTTTTATAAACGAAGCAATTTTTGCAAATTACCCCAATTTCCAGGCCCAAGCTGATGGAAGAGCTGGGCTTCCGCGAGAAACAATCCGCCGAGCTGAACAAGGAGCTCGGCCAGCGATGGCACCGCTTGAGCAAGGACGACCAGGAAAAGTACGGAATACGCCGGATTTCGCAACTAATTTGCCGATTTTGTAGATATTTCACGATGGCGAAGCAGGACAAGGCCAACCACCAGCTACAGTACCCCAACTGGAGTGCCCGCGAGAATTATGCCATTCATAAGAAGAAGAAGAGGAAGATTGAGAAGACCGAAGGTACCGTAGTTTTGGGTTACTGTAGCGGGGGGAAATATCGACAGAAAAAATGTCGACAGCCAAGATACCGAAAAGCACAAATAGAAGTGTAATCAATTTTGATAAGCTAGCAGTGAAAATTTGCGTGAATTAGCCTTGCTAATCCCTTTAAAATCAAGAAAATTATTTGAGGCAAACCAGCAGCTACACTTTGTGGAATTTTCATGATTTCTGGTCCCTTTTAAGACGAATACGAGCGGTTAAATAGACTTTAAAGGCATCAGTAACCCAGAAATTCCACAAATGTTCTCGGCCAGCCTGCCTCTAGGCAAAAACCATTTTAAAGGCGCATGGAAGGCTAGTTTTTCCTTTTTTCAACAGTGCGTTCGAGCCTCAAGCCCCATTTCCTATATCGTGTCCTCCGGCTACCGTACCCCTCCCCTTGGCGTCGATCTATTAGGGGGGATTGGCTGGTCCGAATGTTTGCTGTGGCCAATCCCTGCTCTTCCCCCCGTTGAGATGAGCGGCTATTGTGGCCACCTCTCTCTCGCTCTCTCTCTCCCTCTCTCTCTCTCTCTCTCTCTCTCTCTTTCTCTCTCTCTCGCCCTATCATATCTTCCACTCGAGACCCATTGTCGGCACTCAGCGACAAGACAAGACCAATAGACAAGCAACCCGATAGCTTATCATCATTTTGGGCCAATGAGGGAGCGAGAGTTAAGCTTTTAAAGGGACTTTCAGGCAAAAGTTGATTAGCATACCGCCATCGGTATTTTTCGCAAAAAGCAAAAAGTTTCTCACGGCCGGGATTCGAACCCGGATCGCTGGATTGACAGGCAGACGCACTAACCACTTGGCCATTCCGCACTTCATGTTTTTTAACAATTGCTGAGAAATTGCTGCTAGATGGTTTTTCCTAACGAATTAGCTACTTTGGATCTTCCAAAAAATCTCTGCTAGCGAGCTATTCCCAAAAAATCACTGCTAGATGCCTTTTCCTAAATAATCGCTGCTAGCCTGCCTATTCATAAGGAATCTCTGCTAGCCTGCCTTCCCAAAGAATCGTTGCTAGCCTACTGTTACCATCCTGGAAAACCAGTGTACCTCGCGTACCAAGGGATTCGTGTTGGTCACTCACTTCCTGTTGATTCTCTCTCTCTCTCTCTCTCTCTCTCTCTCTCTCTCTCACTCTCTCTCTGATTGGCTACACTCCACTCCTCTAAACACAACAACATATCCCCATCTCCTCTAATATTTGTCCCCATCCCCCTCAAGTGAGGCTATCATTCCCCTCTCAAAGGGAATACGGTATCCGTTCCAAAGATCTTCTCGGGACCCGGCTATGTCGAATCTCCTGCAAATCCCTTTCTCCTTATGTCGGGCCACTTGACAATTCGCTCCCGACGATCACTTTGAGTATGCGCTCGCGGCTTTGAGAGGAGCTTTCAGCGATTTGGGGGTACGGTAGCGGGGGGCGGCTTTTAGTGGATGAGAAGGACCAATAACCTCAAAAATGTCTAAAAGTTGAAGATATCTTACGGTAGGCTAGGAATCCAGTAGTGAAAAGGGTCCAGGAAGCCTGGGAAAATTCCCAAAAATTAGGATAAATTACCGCAGCTCGGAAGAAGGTATTTCTAGAGATTTTGAGATGCAAGGATATGAACGATTACGAGCGTTTATAGGGACTAAAAAGTCTGGAAAATTCTAAAAAATCAGAACAACTTGCTCACCTTACTGGCTTATTTATGTCAATTTTTGCAGACCTGAACGAGACGAAGAAGTGCCGCGCTCGCTTCGGGCTGACGAATCAATCCCAATGGTGTGCGTTCTGCAAGCGGAAGAAGAAGTGCCAGTACGCGGGCGGTGTCGGCGAGGAGATGACGTACGTTTTACGCAAATTAAATTTTTTAGCATCATTTCGAATTTACGTCTTTGGCCTAGTCGTTAGTGAAGTTGCCTGTCAATCTGAGGGTCAGCGTTCGATCCTCGGCCGCGATAAACTTTCTTCTTTTTAGCCCATCCTTTAGATTTTGATTGTTTTGAAGGGAGAATTTCTCAAAATGCATGGAAAACATCCATAAATTCTTTATTTCAGCTCCCGGTCCTCCTCCTCGACGGAGCCATCCCTTCATGGTGATGATGGTCATCATCTGATGGCCAGTGAGGATGATGATGAGATGAAGCCCCCATTCCTCTCTACCCATCCTGGGGCTATGCAAATGCCCGGTGTCCCTCCAATGTCGGATGACAGTGATAATGATGAGGTAATTCAACTTTTTGAAAAATTGGATTTTTCTTACGGTAGCTAATCGATTACGGTACTTTATCCAGTTTATGGCATTTTAAAGGAACTTGTAAATCCATAACCGGCCCAAATAAAATTTTTTAAAAATAGAGGAATTTTAGAAGCCCTACAAATGGCTAAAAAATTTTCCAAATTTCTAGAATAGAGAAAAATCGAAAAATAAAAATTGCCGAATTTCCAGTAGATTTTTGCCTTCAACGGTCCTTTAAAATGCATTTTATAGCGGATTATGGTAGATTCTTACCTGTGAAAGGCGGTAATTTTTCTAAATATTGAAAAACAGCCCACGAATTTATGGCATTTTCTGTGGATTTATGCCTTCAACGGTCCTTTAAAAACCTTTTTTCAGTGAATTTTGGTAGCTTTTTGCCTTTTAAATCTCTTTACAAAAGTTTGCAACTTTTCCAACAGCTTAAAAATATTTAAAACGCAAAAGTTGTTATAAATTTTTGCCTTCAACGGCCCTTTAAAACCAATTTTTTTGCAGCTGGACGAGGACATGGAGGACGACGACCCGACGCTTACCTCCACCCTTCTCGAGGGGGTCAACACCGACATGCTGAGGCCGTAGACGCCCACGAGGCCACGCCCCCTTTTTCAAGGGCCACTGAAGGGACAGGGTACCGCGCCCCAAACTACCGTATCTCACGCGATATTTGAATATTTTGACCGCAAATCCCAGCTCAATTTTGGCCAATTTTTTTCAAGCGAGCTTTTGAAAGCTACCGTAGCCTTATGGATTTCTGCCTTCGACGGCCCTTTAAAATCGTAGTTTTGGCTGTTTTCTATAACGTGCATATTTCCCGGGTACCACATACACACTGCTACACACTAATACTACCGTCCTCTCCCCCGGAGCCACCTGTACGCAACGCGCCACGCAACGTGACCCCACCCAGCTTTCGTTGCATTTACTCATTAGATGATTTGTGTAAATTATTGCTTATTTTGTGGGGCTTAAAGGACTGGCCAAACTTTAGAATTTAAAATTTTCAAAAGGCCGTTTTTCTAATTTTTGTAGCCTGTAGGGTTTTGGATTCGACTAGACTGCAAGCTACAAACTACAAATTTTCCATCCGTGGATTTTTTAGACTGCGATTTATATTGTTTATTGAAAGCTATGGACTACAAAAACTGGCAGCGTCAATCGGTGTGGTTTGTGGCCTGCGGTCGGCTAAACGACAGGCTACAAACTAGAGATTTCTGGATTTTGTAGTCTGTAGTTTCAAAGCTCCATTAAAAGCGATAAACTGCAAAAAATGGCACCACAATTTTATGTAGTTTGTAGCCTAGCGATTCGGCTAGGCTACAGGTTACAACCTACAAGTTTTAAAGCTCTGAACTACAAAACTAGCTGGGATTCCTTTTTGTAGTTTGTAGTTTTTAAATTTTAGCGAATTTGGCCAATCCTTTGCCTCCTATTTCTCTGTTATTTATTAAATTCCGCTGCCCTCCTCCCTCCAAGTGCCAATTTGTCTATTAGTGCTTTATAAAAGGTCCCGAGATTGCCTGTTCTCTCGTTTTCTCTGCGTCTCTCTCGCACTCGCTCTCTCCCTCTCCTTAATGCTCCAATTGACGTATCGTTTGATTTAGGATTATTCGTCCCCACTTTCACAGAGAAATGCTGGTACAGTGCCTCTCCCCTTTTCTCTATAACTGGATTACGGTAGCTGGGGCACCAGATACCGTACGCCCAGCCCCCTGCCTTTATTTTTCAAAAATCGCCTTTTTGTGATGATCGCCTTTTTCTGTTTTTAAATATGTGTTTTTGGTTCTGTGTGTACATATAGCCGTGCGCAAAATATCGGATTATAAACATCATCGAAATATTTGAGGAATTTGCATAACACAAAATGCGCATAGAATGATTATTTTTACGTTGTCGAAAAATAGAATATCGAAAATCCTATTATCGACATTTTCTAAAATTAAAATGTTTGTATTCGATTTAAGACAAAATTCATAAATTTTAATTTTCAAATCCACTAATTTTTATTAAAATCTACAAAACATCGATTTTGCGAGAAAATTCGGATTTTTAAGCATTTGAAACTCCGTTTAAATGATTTTACGCTCTAAACATAGTTAAAATTACTAAAAATATTATTAAGATAATTACTAGCAGATTAGGTATTGCCGGACAAAACAGTGGCATGCTAGCAGGGATCCTTGAGGAAGGAGCTTCGTTAGGGCAAGCTGGCAGAGGTCATTTGGGAGTTTGTCGGTGCAGTGCTATGCAACAATATCATTTTTAAGCCATTTATTAACCGCAAAAACAAAAGTTAAAATGCCACATTAAGAGAGGGATAAACAGAAACGAATGGGTGGAGAGAGAGGAGAGAGAGAGAGAGAGAGAGAGAGAGAGAGAGAGAGAGATAGACTAGCCAAATGACAGCGGGAAAACGGGTACCGGTACTGACAGAAAAAGAGAGAGACAGAGACAGCGAGAGTGAAGAGAAACAGGGACAGGATATGCTATTTGAATTACGGTAGCCTCGGGAGGGTTACGGTATTTTCGCGTATTTTCCTAAAACCTGACCCATCTACCGTAACCCTGCGTGGCTCCGGGGCGCGTTTTGGCAAGATATAATATGGGGGGGATGACCGGGGTTGGACCTGAATGGAGTACGGTAGGATACGGGGGAGTACGGTAGAACACAGAAGACGGCTTGGAGTAAATAAGCGCCTATCGGGGAAAAGCAGGTGGGTTTGCAGGGGTTGGGAAGGCAAAATTTGGTTTAGGCCTGGGCTTAGGCTTGGCTTAGACTTAGGCTTAGGCTGAGGCTTGGCTTTAGCTTTTGCTTAGGCTTATTTTAAAATGCTGCCTTCCAAGTCCCTTTAAACCCGAAAATTGGTCACAACAATCGGGGCGAAGGCAATAGATTTTGTGGAAAAAGTGAAAATCGCTAAACCAGGGCTAGAAAGGACTACTGTAATGACAGACTATGCACAAAAATTATGAAATACACAAGGTATAGACATTAATGTGTGGCTGGGAAATGGAGCCGGGGAATTTAAAGCGATCGTGACACATTTGAATGGGGTAGGCGAGCAAAGGTTCTTTGGGGAATCACCCAAATTGGAAGCTCCCAAGAATGCGCTTTATTCAACCGAGCTGGATTTTAAAGGGACGGTGCCACCAAGGATTTGGAATTTAAAAATTTTTTTCTAGAATTTCTTATTGAATTACAACGTTGCCTTTAACTTTCCTCGAAAAGAAAAAGTATTTTCCTATCCATTCGCCAAAAAGCAAAATTTTGGCCCCGGCGGGAGTCGAACCCGGGTCGCGTGGATGGGAGACCACATCACTAACCACTAGGCCATGACCAACTTTTGCAAAATCTTTTTTGTTGATTTTTATCGATTTTTCGTTTGAAATCTTTGTTAACAGTTGATTCCGTGCTGACACGGTCCCTTTAAAAGCCCAAAATCCGGCAGAACTACGCCGAATTATGATGATTAGGTGCCTTCAGCATTTGCGCGTAGCTCTTCTTCTCCGCCGGCTTCTCCCGCCGTCTCCCCGACGCGATGAAGCTGCAAAAATCACGGTAAAATTAAAATTGCTGAAATTATGCAAAATATATTTCTGGTAATTAGGGCTGGTGAGTGAGAAGGGCAGAAAAGTCCCGAAAAATTTGAAAAACAGAAAACCCGTAAATTCAGCTTTCAACACCACTAACACTTTTGGGCAGCCACGCATTTTTCGGGGCCCTCGTGGCGAACGGCCTGAAAAAGATGCAAATTTCCTGATTAATCGGGGCAGGCGAGCAGGAATTCTTAGGGAATTCAGACAATTATTTAGAAGCGCCTGAAGGCAATAAATATGAAAAATAATATGCAAATTTTTTAATTTTTGTACTAAACTAGCAGAAATTATTGGGGAAACGTAGAAACCCGGCTTCCCGGTTCCTTTAAAATGGCAAATATGCAAATTTTTTTTGCATTTTTAAGCTAGCTAGCGGAAATCTTTGAGGAAATATAGAAAACAGACCTTCCAAACCTTCCAAAACATACTCAAAATGGGCAATTTTAAAGGAATTGGAAGCAAAATTCTAAAACTTCTGCCAAAAAAGCTGATTTTTGCATTTTCAGAAATGCTATTCTAGAGATTTTTTACTTCAACACCACTTTTAAAAAAATCTATTTTAAAAGTTTTCCCTCCAAAAGCAAAAAGTTTGACCCCGGTGGGGATCGAACCCGGGTCGTGCAAGCGGGCAACTACATCACTAACCACTACACCACAACAAAAATATACAAAATTGTTTTTATTGATTTTTTTAACTATTTTTACGATATATTGAAGATGAAAAAAATCACTAAAATGATGTAAATTTACCTGAAGGTGGGCTTGGGCTCGGGTTTAGGCGGTTGAGGTGCGGACTGCTCGACGAGGACGGGGAATGACTGCTCTTCGAATGAGTAGACGGTAGATGGGCAAGAGGATGAGGGGCCGGACATGGCCGAAGTGGCCGATTCACTGAAAGAAGAGGGTTGGCGCATTAATGGGTGGTGTCGGTTTAAAGATCCCGGGATGGTCTATTAATGACGCCAAAAAAAAATCCCGACGAACCAAAATCCGACAGATAAAAATACCGACACCAAAAGATCATCAGCTAAACGCCTGACAGATCACAATCCCGACAGACGAAATACCGTCAGACCAAAATACCGACAGCTCAAAATCCCGACAGCCCATAATCCCGACAAATTTTCGATGCTAGTTTTAATGCCCCTCGTTTTTTAATAGCTAATTTGCATGTCTGGATCCTCGCCGAGGGTATTTTGGCTGTCGGCATTACGGCTGTCGGCATTTTCCTTGTCGATATTATCGCTTTTGGGATTTCGGCTGTCGGCATTATGGCTCTGTATTCAGACTTTCGGGATTTTCGCCCTTGCTCGCTCCCTTTTGCTGTCACGCTCCCTTTAACACCCCTATCCCCCTCTCGCTTACCTATTAGTGCGTGTCTTCTCGCTTCCTGCTCCCTCTGCTCCTCCTCCTCCTGCAGCTGCTGCTCTATTTCTCATGCCTCTCCTCCCTCCTCCGCCAGTTCTCTCTGCCGCTGTGAAGTATGCAAATGAGGTAGTTCCGTTGTTATTGGCTGCTGTATTCGCGTTGCGACGACGATCCTCCCCCCTCCTTCCACTCGCCGTCCGCCAGCCCTCCTCTTCTGAGTGGTGCTCCTGTAAATTTTACATATTTACCCAATTACCAGATTAAAATACAGACTACAAACTACAAACTACAATATCTACAGTAAGTCACGATACAATAACTATTTTCAAGATTTAGATACGATGTATTGAATTTTAAATTATCAGGCTAGTAATTCTTACAAATTTGCATAAATTTTTTTAATTACATGAAATTCTTAAAACGATAGTATATATTTTCACAGCACGCCACAGCACACAAGGTATTTATGTTATTATTATTACCATTAATTTTTCGGGCATGCAAAGCGGGGGAATTATGCAAATTTTCGGCAGGCTTAACACGCGAATCGTGGCCTTTAAAGGGTCATGGAGTGAATTTAGGTTTTAAAGCCGAATCTAAAGAGTTATTGCGGCTTACTGTCAATTTTTGCTTGCTTCCATGTTCCTTTAAAATTATGGCTAGGTGGAATAGCGTAGAGGCTAGCTTTCCTATCCCTTTAAAAGCCAGATTTCGCGTTTATGATTGCCAAAAACTACAACAGATACACAATATCTCTCTGCGTCTCTCTTTCTCCTCTATCTCTCTCTCTCTCTCTCTTTGTCTCGTTCGTTAGCTCTCTCTCTCTCTGCCTCTCTCTTTCTCTCGTTTGCTCTCTCTCGCTCGCGCTCTCTTTCTCTTTCTCTTGTTCGCTCGCTCTCTCGCTCTCTCTCTCTCTCTCTCTCTCTTTCTCTCGGGCGCTCTCTCTCTCTTTCTCTTGTTCGCTCGCTCTCTCTCTCCTTGTCTCGTTCGTTAGCTCTCCCTCTCTTTCTCTCGTTTGCTCTCTCTCGCGCGCTCTCTCTCTTTTTCTCTTGTTCGCTTGCTCTCTCTCTCTCTTTCTCTTTCTCTCTCCCATCTCTCTCACTCTCTCTCGCCACAATATCTAGCACCAAACCTGCATATTCTGGCGTTGTTGTTGTTGTTGTGGTTGTAGTGGTGCTGTAGCCACCGTATCCCCCTCCTTCCTTCCACCATCTTCTACCGTGTTCGCCATCTTCTTCCCCTTTGGTATAAATGGAGCAGTGACGATCGGAGTGGTGGGTGTGGGTGGGATTACGGTACCCATCACCGCTCCCTTCCCGCTTCCGCCTCCGCTACCCGATACACCAAATGACGGTGGGTGGTGTTGGGTGGAATGGTGATGTTGTTGATGTTGTTGTTGATGTGGCTTCCACGAAAAACTGAACCGCCAGGTGATAATAGCAGGGGTGAAGTTTAATTAAAATTAATCCCGGGGTTTAAATTAAGTCAAAAAATTTTTTATTAATCAAATTTTTTTGTTTTATTGCAAATTTTTTAAGTTTATTACACCAATTTCTTTCGAAAGTAATGAATTAGTAATTAAATTATTAATGCGAAAATCAGCTTTTGCGCCTTAAGACCGCCCAGAATTAGCTTAAAATTTTAATCGAAGAAGGGAAAAGGCAAAAATCCCGACAACCCAAATACCGACAGCCAAAATTCGAAAAAAAAATGAGTTAAAGGAATTTAAAAAGACGATTTTTTTATTTTTTGTGAAGTCAAATTCTCAGCAATTTTTAAATTCAAAGCAAAATGACTAATTTTTGGGTTAATTCTGTTTTTTCGCAATTTTGTGGAAACTACGCAAATTTTGTGGGGTTAAATTGAGCAGGGAGCAAGAGACTGGTTAATTTAAATTCCACGCGGTGCTGGGAAGCATTTTAATCGTTTAAAAATTAGCTCAAAAATTCGGTATTGTTTACGACAGTCTCCCTTTAAAATGAGTGTGAAAAACAAAAGTGAAAAACCAACCCATTAGTGCTTGAATGCGAGTTATCTGTGGTCGTCGTTTCCGATTCGGCGCGATGATCGGTGCGCCTTGGATTCCGCGACACTCCTCCATCACGATCTCCTCTCCTTCGCTCTGAAAATTTGCATAAAACGAATGGAATTAGCCGAAAAATCTTCGACAAAACCGTCTAAATGATTTTGATAAAATTAGAATGTTCATTATATTCGTGTTGTCGTGCTTTCTACATTTCTAGGTTTAAGAATTAGGAATTTGCTGAAATTCAATTCGTTTAAAAAATTATGCAAATTTCGCCTACCAAAAGTTTGATAAAAGGAGCCGCGTCCGCTTCCGCCAGCGCCGCCACGACCTCCGCTTCGACCACCACGACCTAGAAAAAAAGTTAATATATCAAGTTTCAAAAATTCCTCAATGATCTTTGCTCGCTTGCTCCCTATACCGATACGTAGGTTTAAAACTATCGACTATAAACGGCCATCAATTTTTCACATAATTTTCATTCATGAATTTCCTTAAGAATCTTTGCTAGTTTGCCTGTGATTTATCGAAGA